CAAATGGCTTTGTTCCCTTAAAAACCAAACATTTCCTCAAACAGACTGAATTTTTTATTAATTTACATGTGCTGGTTCACCCTCCCACGTGCACATTAAAGAGATTAAGCAACAAGAAGTTTTCTTAATGGCACCCAAGCCTTGGAGTATTTTAACTAAACTCAGACATACATGAGTAACCCCAGAGGAAGTTATTCATGCACATCTAAGGCAGAATGTGGCCTTTCGACTTTAGCCTATTAAACACAGGGAAAGGCATCATTAAAATTCCACTCTCAGCTCTCCAGCCAAGATGGGAATGGCCCTGGCCACAAAACATGAAGGACAAGGCTTCCACGAGACCCAGTAATCTACTGGCATCAGAGAGCAGGGCAGGCAAACCACAGGAAACCAAGGTCAGAACTCACCTTCATTCTTCAAAAAGCCGACTGGGTTAAAGTGTGTGCCTCACTCTGCAAGGTGAGAAGTCTGGCTTTGCCGGAGTGTGGTGTGTGGAGAAAACGACAAACGCCTCCAGGTAGGAGGGAGTTTGGAGGCCCCGGGTCTCCATTTGGAAGGTCATCTTGGAAAAAATATTTGGAACCATGTGGCCTTACTCTTCGCAGGAGTGACAAGAAGGGAATTCCAGTTGGAGTCGTGTAAAATGGGCGCGTCTGCCCGCTTCGGCTCCGCCGAGTGTGGCTGGGGGCAGAGCGCTTCGTGCGTCTCTTCAGCTGGAGGCTCTTGCGGTCTAGAAGGCCCCTGCGAGCTGAGCAGGAGGCTGAATAATGGGGTTTAGCAAAACTCAGGAATGAGCTCACCTCACCTGGACTCCAAAATCCCATTAATCTCTACTTAGACCTCCACTGAACAGACTTTAAAAACAAAACCACAGTGCGGCACCAGCATCGGTGTCACACACCCACGGCCCTGCACGTGGGTGGCAGAAAGAATGTCATGTTGACATCGCCCAACTCCTTTCGGATAATTGCAGATGAAGGATGGCTGCTTTGAGCATTCAGATAGTCTCTTCTAGAGGCTTCTCTAGGGAAACGAAACTGCTGCGGTGCATCCTTCAGTGCCGAGAAGGCGATTTGGATTCATCCGGCCTTTGAGAAGAAAAAGCTGGACACAGCAGGATGCTTTTGTAGGCCTGCAGAGAAATGAACAGCTCTCTGGGCCCCTAGTTCTGTATCCAGATTAAAAAAAAAAATTTGTTACGTTAGAAGCCCTTTATTCTATTCATTTTTTAAAATTGAAGCATAGTTGGTTTACAATGTTGTGTTAATTTCTGGTGTACAGCATAGCGATTGTTATACATATATATATTTTTTTTCTTACTCTTTGTCATTATAGGTTATTACAAGCTAGTGAATATAGTTCCCTGTGCTATACAGCAGGACCGTGTTGTTTAGCTATTTTGTATATAATAGTTTGTATCTGCAAATCCCTAACTCCTAATTTATCCCTCCTCCACAACCTTTCCCCTTTGGTAACCATAAGTTTGTTTTCTATGTCTGTGAGTCTGTTTCTGACTTGTAAATAAGTTCACTTGTGTCATTTTTTTTTTAAGATTCCACATATAAGTGATACCGTATCACAGAAAACTCCACTACAGATTTGAATTTTAATCAGTGAGGAATCCTGAAAAAACAGTAACAGAAAACAGCTGGGAAGCGGTGTTGATTTCAAAATCCCATAGTGAAATCTCCATTCCACCACTGTATTTTCATAGCCTTTTGCCTGAAAGGCCAGGCAGTAAATACCATTCCAGGCTCTGCCTGGAGCTGGGTTCCTGTTTTGCAGATGGCATGAGAGGGAAAGCCTGCTGAGCTGAGGGCCAGGGGCGTTTTCCTGTCTAGTTTAGCCCAAATGGCTCTTTTCTCTGACATGACCAGGGTGTTTTCTGCTTCTTCCGAACATTACACACTTTGAGAGCACCGATGTCCAAGGCTCCTACCCTGCGAGTCTCGGGAATGCTTGGAGATGAGGGTGGGGTTGGAGGAGAGGGCTGAACCTCCCTCCCAGGCCCGGTCAGGAGGCGGAGCTGGGGAGGAGCCCACCCTCATCCTGCCCACTGTTGCTTTTGGAAGGCTTTCCTGCGGGTTTTTACTGCTGGGTGGTCCCTCGGGTCTGCCACTACATTCCAAATATTTCCAAAACTTTTGGAGAGGTGGCGGTTCTACAACAGGAGTGGACTCCCTTGGCTCAGGCGGGAGGCTGCGAGCTAGAACTGAGTCAGTTCTAAGATTCTGGACACAGTGGATCTCCCTTCCTCCCATCCTTCCTCCGTACTGGGGACGGAACCCAGGACCTTGCGAGCATGCGCTCTCCCACTGAGCTATACCTGCCCCGCCACCCACCACCACCTCTGCCCCAGTGGATTTTTCTTTTGCAGCCTCTTGTGCTGAGTGGTCTCCAACTTTGTGGATGGCTCATCAGAATCAGTAAAAGATGTTAAGCAGATACTCCCAATACTGTTATTTATTTATAGAGACACACATACTATTGAACTAATATATTATTAGTTAAAAACACGCACAGAGAATACATTTTAAGAGGAGACAATATTGAGTTCTTTGTTTTCTCAATGGCACAAACCCCTTTTTGCTTTTACTAGGCTATAACGTTATATGCTTATTTTATATGTATGTCTTCCACTTGAAAAGCTTGCTATAATTACCACTTTGTAATATGATTCAAAAGTCTGATTCTAAGTGCAGTTTATTTTGATACCTGGCTTTAGTGATTATCGTGTCAAAAAACAATGCTGCAAAGATAATGGCAAGAAGTGCATTGTTGTCTGTAATGACTTCATTATGACATGTTTTTGGCCACATCCACCAGCAAGGCAAGGACTCTGCTGAAAGTTTATTAATAAATTTCCGTCTAGTATGATGTCAGCGTTTCCTGGGCTAGCCGGACGTGGTGTCTTGACTTACGCAGAGCTCACTGCTAGGTTGCATATTCCGAAAGCTTCTTGTCACCGTATGAAATTTCAGAAAATGTTTTTCGCACAGTAAGACGGCAGAAGGGTTCATCACACCTGATGAACTGTCCTGGTCTGTCTCTGCTGGGTAGGATTATATTTTAGGAACAACTCAGGCAAACTGTGAGGGAAACAAGTGGATCGGCCTAAGCTCCTGCCAGTAATACTGGTACACTCGAATGGGGTCATTGAAGAGAGTTTAATTAAGATAAGATAAGATAAAATAAGAGCAAAGGGAAACCAGCCGTGGTAGAGCAGCAATAGCAGGGAGCCCTTTCTTCCTTCCCCTAAGCCCGGAGGCTGGGCAGGGAGCAGTGACACAAGCCCGGGAGAGCTCTGGCTCCAGGCCAGGGAGCACTGTCAGCACCTGGGATTTGGGTAGAGGGACTTCCTTAGTTCGCCCAAAATGCCTAGCAAAGTACATGACTGGGTGCCTTACACAACGGAAATCTATTTTCTCACGATTCTGGCGGCGAGAAGTCCAAGATCAAGGTCCTGGCAGTGCTGGCTTCTTCTGAGGCCTCTCTCCTCGGTTCATGAGTGGCTGTCTTCTCCCCGTGTCTTCACACTTTCTTCCCTTTGTGCCTGTATCTGTGTCTAGATATCGTCTTTGTACAGGGACACCAGTTGTATTTGATTAGGGCCTCCCTGTTGACCTCATTTTAACTTAATTACTTCTTTAAAGGCCCTATTTCTAAATTCCGTTACATGCTGAGGTACTGGGGATCAGGCCCTCACATATGAATTTGGTGGGGGGCACAGTTCAACCCATGACAGGGACACTGCCAGCCCGGGGCCCACAGGGAGAGGCCTGGGCAATGAGCCTTGCCCAGTCTTCCTTCCAGCCCACTGGCTGCAGGTACCTCACAGTGGCCTGACCCAGACGGAAGCCTGAGGCAAGGGAGCCTGCTTGACGCTGCCCTGAGGTCAGTCTCGGGAGGCAGACAATTAAAAAGAGTCATCTGGAGAAGCAAACAGCTGATACCCAGCTCCCAGTGCTGAACTGAAAAACAGGGTTTTCATCACCCTCTACGGTTATAAGTAACTAAGAAAGAGGAGAAGCCAGATAAGCCAGGCTGTTTGGCTTTGTGAATGCCCAAAGAGTTGCTAGTTTCAGAGACTGCTGTTCCAAGGCTTGGCTTTGTAGGAACAGCTTAAAAATCTTCTTTTTCTCTGCTACTCAAACTTCCCCCTATTCCTTTTCCCACCTATGTCCCTTTCTCTCTGTTTTACTTTTCTCTTCTTTCTGTCCTCATCCCATGTCTCTTTTTACATCTCGCTTTTGGATTTTCCACTTCCACACCACTCTCGTTCTTCAGTTGTTTTCAAACCTCTATCATGCTCCATCTGGCGGTGAGAGGAAAGCGGACTTCGTGGGGCAGATTAATGGCACAACACAGAAGGCTCCCTTCCTTGGGAGAGCACTTACCCTGTAATGGCAGAATTATGCCTGTCTCACGACTTACGGTGACTTACGGTTCTATCTCCCTCTGGGCAGAGCAGGAGGACCAACTTCTGCATCACCCCAGACTCCCACACGGAGCAAGATGTGAGGGCCTGAGCAGGAAAGCAAAGCTGAGGTGTTCCACGGGCCAAGAGGGTGATGTCAGAGGTGGGAGGTTGGTCACATACAGGGGACTGAGTGAGCACACGTACCAAGGCTATTGGGAAGGAACCAGGTTCCTTGCTGCAAGAAAAGAGAATGACAGATAAGGGAAAAGAACCCTGTCTTGTTGGATTGGCCTTGGAGTATGGTGTGCAAACATGTTTTTCAGTATTTATAGATCACGTCGAAAATGCAGATGTGTGTGTGTGTCGCACACCCACACCCCTATCCATACACACTCCTTAACCCTATTCAGTGACAAGGCTTGGAAACAGTGACATGTCGGTAGCAAAGAGTACATCTGTAACCCAGCAGGACCCTATGGAGGCCTTCCCGGAACAGACCCCTTCCCCATATCCTCTGTTGTAGCTCCTTTCTGAAGTATTCAGATAATAATATCTCATGCATATTTCTCACATTTTTCAGAGGCTAAAGCCACCACCAAATGGAAGAAATTCACTATTTGATGATCTTAAGAACAGCCCCCGGACCTCTGGTACTTAAAGATTGATCACTATCAACCAATCAGAGAATTGTGCGCAGCTGATCCCAATCCTGGGCTGCCCCTCCCTCACCGAGCCTTTAAAAAGGCTCAGCTGAAACCTTTAAAGGAGTTCAGGGTTTCCGGGGCATGCGCCATCCTCTCTCCTTGCTTGGCCCAGCAGTAAATATTTCTTTGCTCCAAACTCAAGCGTTTTGGTATTTTTTAGGCCTCACTGTGTGTTAGGCACACAAACTTGCATTCAGTAACAATTTTGCTGAAGGCAGCCTAGGGGTCTGAGCCCGCGGCAGTTCAACCCTGGCCAGAGGCAGCAGCCCCTTCCCTGGGTCCCAGCAACCGCAAGAGCTCAGTTCATTCCAGGGAACTGGGAAAGACTCGCCCGGGCAGGCGCCGGCTGCCCCACGTACGAGGCTGTTTGGAACCAAGAAACTTCCAGCGCTACTGAGGGACCACGTTCCGAGTCACTGCGAGGTAAGTCGCTCCAGCTTGCACAGGCTGGGAATTCTCGTCTGACTCGTTCCCTTGTGGCTCACTGTGAGCCACTCTGGGTCCGTTTTCTCTCTCGAGCTGGGCGCATCCGTTTGGAGGCCTCCATCTGGGAATGGAAGTGAAATTCTTAGATTACACCTCCGCTGATTGTGCAACTGTAGTTTATTGTTTGTGTTTGTATGTGTATCATTTTACGGTGAGCCACTCTGGCTTGTGCAAGGTGGGAAAATTCTACCAGCTTCACCTGGGCTGGTTCTCTTCCAGGAAGTGAGGCATTCTGGGTGCACTGGGAGCCGCTCTGGGTCCATTCTGTTTCAGGAGCCAGGCTACTCTGGAAGCCTCCATGTGGGAGTGGGAGTGGAATTTTGGGGCTACACGTCATCTGATCTTTTTGTTTGTGGGACCATGTTTGCGGTTTGTATGTGTGTGCGCATCCGTCTTGCACTGGCTGGTTGTGACGTCTTTGGATAATGAGGCTCACGTGTGTCGACAGCAGCGCATTCTTCCCTGTTGCGTTGCCTTCGCCTGCGGCTTCTGGCCTCCACTCAGCTTCGCCTGTGGTGGGCCGTTGGTGGGGCTCTCCCCTTTTGGTCTGACGGGGCATTGGTTGGGAATCCCCTGTTTTGGGACTAGGGAACTGTGACCCTGAGAGTCCGTTTTGAATTGTTGTTTGCTTGCTATTTGATAAAATCGGCCATGAATAATTAAGTATGGGTGATCAAAGCTCTGTTCCATTTTATAGTTCCACTAGGGTTTATTTTGTAAAACTGAGAGATCTTCAGCTGTGCTTCCATAAATGAAAGAAAATGATATATTTTATTGTAACACTGGGCTCAGTAATTCCTGAGATCTGGGGAACAGTGGCCCCTAATGGCTCCACTATTGTATCAAAGTGGGCCTTCGGCAATTACTTCAGCTTTTATCTTGGGTATGTGTTTGTGTCTGGGTACATGAGTACAAATCCTGTTCTCTCTCCCTGGTTTTGCTGAAATGTGAATGTGAGCAAATAATATATATGTATAATTGTGCATATAATTGTAAATGAGCTCTACTTAATTGACTTAAGGGTTTACAAAGTAAATACTTCTAAGGATAAAAGATGCTAGACAGAACAAATTTAGGGTTCATGTGATCTGGGAAATAACTCAATATTGAATTGATATCTGATGTTAAAGCTAGCCTAAGTTTGTTAGTATAATCAATACAGACATGTCTTTTATTGTACCTTGATTAACTGAAAGCCAATAAGTTCATGTTGTTTCTGTCGCAGAGTTTGTCAGCAGGAATTAAAAAATAATTTGGTATGATGAAATTCTTATAAGTGAATTAAATGCAAATGAGTTAGGAGCTTTTGGGTGAACGCTTTAGAAATATGTTTTAGAAATGACTAAGAGTGGTCTCCCCAGATATTCGGTGGCTTAACATTTGAGAGTTTGCTAAATTAAGTTAAATAATGGGAGTTTACTAAATAGTTGGATAGCTAGGTCATTCTCAAACAAGACACTGAGACATTCACTAGAAATTAAGTTTTTTTTTTTATCTTTTCCTCTTTTTATTCCCTTTTTGTCAATTGGTTATCAAGTCTTGTAGAAATTAAGACTTGAGAGTTGAGGATTCTAATTTAAAATATGTAATTGAAGTTACTAAAAATAATGGGGGAGGCATTTCAGCGTAGAGTAGGAAAGTAGGATGTATGTGTTGAGTTAAAGAAAAAAAGAGATGAGGAATGGAATTGCATTTTCTTAAGGGAAAAGAGTGATTTGGTCCTGGAGCTGGTTGTTTCTAGTCGGGCTGAGATTAGATTGGACTTGATAGGGTAAATGGATTTTGTTATTGAAAGTAGGCTGTGCAGGACTAAATCTGGTTCCTCTGTTAAGGGAACAGGTTTACTTAGAATGCTCTGATAACGGATTGTGTGAAACATGGTATTTTTGACAGACTTCCTGTTGAATTCTAATTGAAGTTCTTTTGATTTCAGCTAACTTTGGGATGCTTCAGAGGGTCCCTGAGACATCTCAGAGAAAAATATTAAGCTAATTAGGATTGGCTGGTATGTTGAAGTGCATGGGAAACATTGTCAAATGAGTGATAAGCCTCCTCAGCTTGTACAGTATGGATAAATGTTGGTATGGACATTCTAGAAATTACATGGAGTTTTTGAAATTTAGATATGCCCTGGTATGATGCTATCCGTCATGATTCTGGTTGTTATCTTGAGAAACTTTATGTTGCAGCAACTTGATTAAGCCTCTTGTCAGAAACATTGTAACTGGGTCTTTACCTTGACTTTTTCGGTCTTTTGTTATCCATAGAGAGTCAAACTGATGCTTTGCATAACTGCTTCATCTTCCAGACGACTTGTAAAGGGGACTTTTTGACAAGTACGGGTTCCTTTTAAATCATACTGCTGAATATACTGTATATATGTATTTACATGCAATATAATGTATTTGTGCAGTTGAACTAATAATTCTACATAATAAAACTGAAAAAGGAAAATAAATAACTCATACTGCTGAGCTGGGTGGGAAATTTAAGAAGTCAAATGAAAACTCTAATTTCATAAAACTATTAGTAAAAAGGGGTTGATTGCATAGGATTGAGTGAACTGGTGACTATGGTTAAAATTTTTTGGTTGTCTGAAGTATTACTGACTTTTAATCTATGTTTTCTAAATGAACTGTTTACCACGTGTTTGTCTCTCTATCAGTATTGCCCCCAATGTTTAGGAAAGAGAATTCTCTAATGGAATTGTCACAGAGTACAACTACTCATGATGTGTAACAATGCCTGCTGTAAGCCTGTTACTAAAAGCACATGTACGGTGCTTGTGTAACACCTGGGTGTAAGTGATAAAATGTATGGCCTGTAAAGTGCTTCCCCATTAACATACCTCTGAGCCCGTTCACGATGTCTGATTCGTTTTCCCCGCAACGTGGATAACCAGGCAAATATAAAGGAGGCCTAGCACCAGGGACATGATCTAAACCTGGGGCAGGAGCCACCACCCCAGCACAGAGGGACAGAGATTTTGATCATCAATGCTTTCTATTAAAAGACTTGTAATCCAAAGGGGAAATCTGCACCTACTGAGGTATGGGGAAGTCATTCTGGCTTATGCATGGTTTGACTTAAACTTTACTGACCAGTGATGCCTGTTTTAGGGCGTTTTGGACATGCATTATACATCTGCCTTGGCCTTGAGGAGGGGAATGCATTTGAAAGTCAAAATGGAGCAGCTGTGATTCAGACATCCAAGGTAAAGCTAGGTGGCCCTTGTGGCGGTGATTCCAGACATGTTCCCGCGTTGTTGAGAACGCTGACTTTCTGGGCTGCGTCATACTCGGGACGCTGCCAGCCATTCTCAAAGCCGCGTCTGCTGGCAGATGGCAGCTGCAACCTTATGACCTCAAGTTCTCCTCTTGTAACTATTTAATTTTTAGACAATAAAGTTGCTTTAGATCAGATGTTAGCAGAAAAAAGGAGATGTATGGTGACCAGTAGCTCTCGTTGTATACATGTTAATATCACATCAGAAGTTAAAAGCCCAAAAAGCAGATAGTTGGCCGCCTGGCTACAGGTCTCCCACAAAGTGCCAGGTCCAGACTGGTTTTCAGGCTTGTTCTCCTGAATTCCTCAGGGAAGGAGATCTTAACCATACAAGACTCAGATCCAGGACTTGGAACTCGGGAATATTTCCAACTCAGTGTCCATCTCCCAAATCGAGGTAGGACCATGCCCCATTTCAGCAGGAAGTGGTCAGCGTGGTCATTGCCCCATTCCCTAAAGGATTTGGGGAAGGATGAAACAGGGTTGGAGATTGAAACCCAGTTCCTCTGCTGAGTTTATGATTAACCTCTTCTTGTCCAGCACCTGTTCTCCTCAAGATTGAGGAGTATTCGAGAAAAGGGGGGAACTGTAACCCAGCAGGACCCAATGGGGCCTTCCCAGGACAGACCCCTCCCCCATATCCTCTGCTGTGGCTCCTCTCTGAAGCACCTAGATAATAGTATCTCACGCACATTTCCTGAGTTTTTCAAACGCGAAAAACCACCACCAAACGGAAGAAATTAACTACTTGATGATCATGAGCATGTAGCCCCCAGACATTCTGATGTTAAGGATTGAAAACAATTAACCACTGATCACCACCAACCAATTAGAGAACTGTGCACAGCTGATCGCATACCCTGAGATGTCCCGCCTTCAACTAGTTTTTAAAAGTGCTCAGATAAAATCCTTCAGGGAGTTTAGGGTTTTGGGGGCATGAACCATCCTCTCTCCTTGCTCAGCCAAGCAATAACACTTTCTCTGCTCCAGACTTAGACGTTTCGGTATTGTTTGGCCTCACTGGGCGTCGGGCATACACTTGCTTTCGGTAACACATCTGGTGCCCAAGTCTTACCTCCTGAAGACCATTCTCCACTAAAAGGAACCAGGACTCTTTGGAGAAATAGCTGAATCCAGGGCTGGAACAGAGAAGTGTAAGGTGAGCCTGGGACATCTGGTGATGCCTGCAAGCGAGGAAGTGCTTGAGGAGTAACAGGATCATGTCTAAAACCACAGAAGCTGGCTTGCAGAGGCTCCCAGCGGCCAAGGTAGGGACAGTCTGAGAATCAAAATAAGGATTGTAATTGTTTAGAACCCATTGAACAAAATAGGAAACCCTGAGCCCATACTCATATAAACAAGTAAATGAATAAATTCAGGTTTGAGGAAGTTGAGCATATTTACATGGTTCCAAAACTTATCTTCCCACAAAATACTTACTAACTGCAAAGTGGGAAAGAGTAATTTTGGGAGATGCCAGGCAGACACTAGCTTAATTAAGTGATCAAAAGGAACATCACTGATAATGAGACGAAATCACGCACCTCCCAATGGGATGCAGTGAGAACACAGCTCCACTTCAGTGATACTCCCGGCAAAGGTGTAGAACCACGTGGAAAAGTCAAACAAACCAATCTGAGGACCCTCTGCAA